AGTTAGTCTTGGTACTGGTAGACTACAGTTAGTCTTGGTACTGGTAGACTACAGTTAGTCTTGGTTCTGTACGAGGTAGTGACTACAGTTAGTCTTGGTACTGGTAGACTACAGTTAGTCTTGGTACTGGTAGACTACAGTTAGTCTTGGTACTGGTAGACTACAGTTAGTCTTGGTACTGGTAGACTACAGTTAGTCTTGGTACTGGTAGACTACAGTTAGTCTTGGTACTGGTAGACTACAGTTAGTCTTGGTTCTGGTAGACTACAGTTAGTCTTGGTACTGGTAGACTACAGTTAGTCTTGGTACTGGTAGACTACAGTTAGTCTTGGTACTGGTAGACTACAGTTAGTCTTGGTACTGGTAGACTACAGTTAATCTTGGTACTGGTAGACTACAGTTAGTCTTGGTACTGGTAGACTACAGTTAGTCTTGGTACTGGTAGACTACAGTTAGTCTTGGTACTGGTAGACTACAGTTAGTCTTGGTACTGGTAGACTACAGTTAGTCTTGGTACTGGTAGACTACAGTTAGTCTTGGTACTGGTAGACTACAGTTAGTCTTGGTACTGGTAGACTACAGTTAGTCTTGGTACTGGTAGACTACAGTTAGTCTTGGTACTGGTAGACTACAGTTAGTCTTGGTAGTGATATAACAAGATAATGAGTGTGACGCGCGCGCACGCACGCACGCACAAACACACACACACACACACACACACACACACACACACACACACACACACACACACACACACACACACACACACACACACACACACACGCACACACACACATCCCATCCAGAGATGGGACACAGACACAAGAGGTCACAATTGGAAGTTGAAGACTCAGATGCGTAAATCAATAGGGCATGTTAGGGGGGGGGAAGTATTTAGGCGTATTAGTTCATGGAGCAGGATGGAAAGACCTAGAAAGTATGTGGGGGGGGACCAACATGTTTTAAGGCGAGGTATGATAGATCTCAATAGGGAGGAAGCAAGAGACCTAAAGCAGATCACGAAGAGCGGGCAGGAGCTGTGACTCGACACCTGCAACCAGCAAATTGGTTGAGTAACTACATCACACAGCAAGACACATATACATACCACAGTTGTTGAGTGAGCTAAATGACCAGGCAGTTTGTTGAGAGAGCTGTACTAGTGACCAGGCAGTTTGTTGAGAGAGCTATACTATTGACCAGGAAGTTTGTTGAGAGAGCTGTACTAGTGACCAGGCAGTTTGTTGAGAGAGCTGTACAAGTGACCAGGCAGTCTGTTGAGAGAGCTGTGCTAGTGGCCAGGCAGTTTGTTGAGAGAGCTGTGCTAGTGACCAGGCAGTTTGTTGAGAGAGCTGTGCTAGTGGCCAGGCAGTTTGTTGAGAGAGCTGTGCTAGTGACCAGGCAGTCTGTTGAGAGAGCTGTGCTAGTGGCCAGGCAGTTTGTTGAGAGAGCTGTGCTAGTGGCCAGGCAGTTTGTTGAGAGAGCTGTGCTAGTGACCAGGCAGTTTGTTGAGAGAGCTGTTGTGACCAGGCAGTTTGAGAGAGCTGTACTAGTGACCAGGCAGTTTGTTGAGAGAGCTGTACTTGTGACCTCACTGACCAGGCAGTTTGTTGAGAGAGCTGTAATAGTGACCTCACTGACCAGGCAGTTTATTCAGAGAGCTGTGCTAGTGACCAGGCAGTTTGTTGAGAGAGCTGTACTTGTGACCTCACTGACCAGGCAGTTTGTTGAGAGAGCTGTAATAGTGACCTCACTGACCAGGCAGTTTATTCAGAGAGCTGTGCTAGTGACCAGGCAGTTGAGAGCTGTGCTAGTGACCAGGCAGTTTGTTGAGGAGCTGTGCTAGTGAGCAAACAGTTTGTTGAGAGAGCTGTACTAGTGACCACACAGTTTGTTGAGAGAGCTGTACTAGTGACCAGGCAGTTTGTTGAGAGATCTGTGCTAGTGACCAGGCAGTTTGTTGAGAGAGCTGTGCTAGTGACCAGGCAGTTTGTTGAGAGAGCTGTACTAGTGACCAGGCAGTTTGTTGAGAGAGCTGTACTAGTGACCAGGCAGTTGAGAGATGTGGTAGTGACCAGGCAGTTTGTTGAGAGCTGTACTAGTGACCAGGCAGTTGAGAGATGTGGTAGTGACCAGGCAGTTTGTTGAGAGAGCTGTGCTAGTGACCAGGCAGTTTGTTGAGAGAGCTGTGCTAGTGACCAGGCAGTTCGTTGAGAGAGCTGTACTAGTGACCAGGCAGTTTGTTGAGAGAGCTGTACTAGTGACCAGGCAGTTTGTTGAGAGAGCTGTACTAGTGACCAGGCAGTTTGTTGAGAGAGCTGTACTAGTGACCAGGCAGTTTGTTGAGAGAGCTTTGGTAGCGACCAGGCAGTTTGTTGAGAGAGCTGTGGTAGTGACCAGGCAGTTTGTTGAGAGAGCTGGACTAGTGACCAGGCAGTTTGTTGAGAGAGATGTGGTAGTGACCAGGCAGTTTGTTGAGAGAGCTGGACTAGTGACCAGGCAGTTTGTTGAGAGAGCTGTGCTAGTGACCAGGCAGTTTGTTGAGAGAACTGTGCTAGTGACCAGGCAGTTTGTTGAGATAGTTGTGCTAATGACCACACTTACTGACCAGGCTGTTTGTTGAGAGGTGTGCTAGTGAGCACACTTGTCATAGTGTTGTATAAGAAGCTGGTTGGTCCACAACGGGTCACACCTCATACCTAGCGTAGCTACTTCTCGGCCAAGGAGAGTCAGTCTCTCTACACTTAGTGCTCTTGTTCCCTCACCACTAAATACACACCATGTGTGTTACACTATTATGGGTTGCATACTGTGCCAGGATGGGAAGGACCTCCAGTGTACAGAAGCCACATTGCTTGTCTTTCTTCAGTTATCCTGGTTTAATAACCCAAAGAATGTCTTCCAATACTTTTCAAGGCGGCGGGAACGTCTTGTGGTTTTTCGTGACGTACTGTGTGTGTGTGTGTGTGTGTGTGTGTACTCACCTAGTTGTACTCACCTAGTTGAGGTTGCAGGGGTCGAGTCCAAGCTCCTGGCCCCGCCTCTTCACTGGTCGCTACTAGGTCACTCTCCCTGAACCATGAGATTTATCGTACCTCTGCTTAAAGCTATGTATGTGTGTGTGTGTGTGTGTGTGTGTGTGTGTGTGTGTGTGTGTGTGTGTGTGTGTGTGTGTGTGTGTGTGTGTGTGTACTTACCCTTTTGTGTTTGCGAGGGGTCGAGAATCATCTCCTGGCTCCACTTTTTAAATCAGTTTGATTGTCATAAATGTTTGCTGTCGTCTTAGGCCGCCTTATCAGTTATGTGTTGACGTTACTCTGTCACGCAGGTCACGTCACTTCTCCACCAACCTGAGACTAATGCAGTACCGCTAATTCCTTACGTCTGAATTTCTCGTATGTGTTTTCAGCTCCACATATTTATTCCTCTGAAAATGTTTTATACCTTAATCATGTTGGTGAGTATCCTCTCCGCTGGAGTGGTCAGGTTAAGTTCCTGACCACCCTAAGTTCGTAGTGTCTCTCTCTCACTTCTGGTACTAACCTGGTTGCCGTCTTTTTTAACTTTTTTTAGTTTCTTCACATGCTTTAACTGGCGTGGGCTCCATGGTGGGGCCGCGTACTCATTGATTGGTCTAACCTCTCACATCTACATTATAAAGTTATAAAGGATTCAAGTTTCTGAATATGCCACTGACGTTATATAATATATATATAATATATATTTACCCTCCCCCCTCCCCGGGTCTATTTCACTTGTGATATTTCCAGCTTCTGCGATATTGTAAGTGTTGTGGGTTCCCTCACCGCTGTCTTATCACTTGTATATTGTATTTCACCAACTTGAAGTTCTGTGGACGATGTCTGTACTGTTGGTCTTCTCAAGTTTATCTTCATTCTTCTTTCTTTTTTTTTCTTCAGTACTGTTAAGTCTTCGTCAAAGTGTATCTCCTTACTTCGTATTTTTTTCTTCTCTATACTTTACACTGGCAAGCAGTGAACACGGACTCGGATCTAGTAGCTGTGACAACACAGAAACGTAACTGTTTGGAATTCTTAGAATCCTCATCGTTACTTGTTCCATTCTCTATTCCATCATTCTATTGTTCTCTGCTTCCTCTCCTTTTACTTGCTTGCACCTTTTTTAACCTATTTGTAGTTTAATTTTAAAAGCTTTTTAGGGTCCACATAGTTAAACAGCTTTCTTCAGCCCAACATAGATTTACTCTGATCGTGACTTTATATTCTGTAGATAGGTTCCCATCTACAAATTTGTAAGATAGATTTGCAACTCTAACTCCTCTTAGATTTCTTATGTAGTCTCTCTCTCCTGATTTACTTATAGCTCATGCTATTAAATCCGCTACAGCTCATGTCAGTATCCTTTAAAGATCGGCAATTAGCACTGACTTTGATCTTCCATTTCCTGTTGTATTGTCATATAGGACAATTGAATTTATCGGGTCAGATAGTGGTTAATCTCTTAGTAACGTGAAATGTGATAACATTCTCCTAGGTCAGATAGTTAAGAAGCACACTCTGCTAGTTACTTCTGCTTCTTTATTGATTGCCCATAGCATTTGTATATCATGGAAGCACCTTAGTTCCTTGCTTTTGTTGATGATTTCTCAAATCTGGAAGTTTGGACGCTGTTCCTTCTGGACAATTCTGATAGGATGTCTTCAATCTTTGCAAATGAGGCTGTATTACTTGGATTTCCATCGCCTGTTTTAATGAGCTAATGTATAAGTAATTGTGTTGTGTGTGTGTGTTGTTGGTGTGTTTATGTATTGGTTGTGGTGTGTGTGTTGTGTGTGTGTGTGTGTGTGGTATACCTATGTGTAGTTGCAGGGGTCATAGTCTCTGTATGTGTTCACCTATGTGTGTTTTAGCATCACTTATGAGTGCAGGTGTGTTCTGTCTGTGTGTGTTGTGTGTGTGTGTGTGTGTTGTGTGTGTATCTGAATCAGTATTGTGTTTAGGCTAGTAGTTACGGGACAGACCGGCACCCGAGCCCCTCGGCCCACCTGGCGAGGCCCGGCGGCCCCCCCTTCCGCCCGGGCCGCTGCTGTGACAGTACAGACACGCCCCCCACGCCCCCCACGCCCCTCACGCCCCCCACACCGCACCGCCACAGCAACAGCCACCACCTCAAGGGCCACCCCAACAAGGCCCAGGACCCCACCAGCAGCAGCAGAGCTCACAACAACAACAACAACAGCAGCAGCAGCAACAACAACAACAACAACAACAACAACACAGCAGCAGCAGCAGCAGCAGCAGCAGCAGCAGCAACAACAACAACAACAACAACAACAACAACAGCAGCAGCAACAGCAGCAGCAACAGCACAGCAACAGCAGCAGCAACAGCAGCAACAACAGCAACAACAACAACAGCAGCAACAACAACAACAGCAAGCAGGCACCTCACAATGGGCAGGACCCAGTCAACAACAGAAGACACAACAACAGGGTGGAGGACCACAACAACAGCAGGGGCCACAGCAAAGTGGGGGCGGTGGGGTGGGGGGTGGTGGCCCCCAGTATGGAGGGGTGAGGTACCCAGGGCCCCACTCTGGGCCCCACAGTGGACCTCACGGTGGGCCCCATGGTGGGCCGCACTCTGGGCCTCACAGTGGGCCACACTCTGGGCCCCACAGTGGGCCACACTCTGGGCCCCACAGTGGGCCACACTCTGGGCCCCACAGTGGGCCACATTCTGGGCCCCACGGCGGGCCACACTCTGGGCCCCACGGTGGCCCTCACTCTGGGCCCCACAGTGGCCCTCACTCTGGGCCCCACAGTGGCCCTCACTCTGGGCCACACAGTGGCCCTCACTCTGGGCCCCACAGTGGCCCTCACTCTGGGCCCCACAGTGGGCCACACTCTGGGCCCCACAGTGGGCCACACTCAGGACAGCCACCGGTGGCCTCTCAGCAAGCATCCTACCCTCTTCAGACATCCTACCACCACCAGGTACGTTACCATCCCCCTAGTGTGGCCCCTCCTAGTGTAGCCCCCTTCTAGTGTGGCCCCTCCTAGTGTGGCCCCTCCTAGTGTAGCCCCCTTTTAGTGTGGCCTCTCCTAATGTAGTCCCCTCATAGTTTGGTCCCCCTCCTAGTGTGGTCCCCCTTCTAGTGTAGTCGGTCTCTTAGTGTGGCCCCGTTCTATTGTGGTTCCCTTCCTAGTGTGGTCCCCTTCTTTTGTGGCCCCCCTTCTAGTGTGGCTTCCTTTTAGTGTGATCCCTTCCTAGTGGGCCCCCTCCTAGTGTGGTCGCCCTCCTGTTGTGGTCCCCCCTTCTAGTGTGGTCCCCCTTCTTTCGAGATCCCCTTCTAGTGAGGTCCCCCTTCTTTCGAGGTCCCCTTCTAGTGAGGTCCCCCTTCTTTCGAGGTCCCTTTCTAGTGAGGTCCCCCTTCTAGTGAGGTCCCCCTTCTTTCGAGGTCCCCTTCTAGTGAGGTCCCCCTTCTTTCAAGGTCCCCTTCTAGTGTGGTCCCCCTTCTTTCGAGGTCCCCTTCTAGTGTGGTCCCCCTTCTTTCGAGGTCCCCTTCTAGTGTGGTCCCCCTTCTTTCGAGGTCCCCTTCTAGTGAGGTCCCCCTTCTTTCGAGGTCCCCTTCTAATGTGGTCCTCCTTTCGAGATCCCCTTCTAGTGTGGTCCCCCTTCTTTCGAGGTCCCCTTCTAGTGAGGTCCCCCTTCTTTCGAGGTCCCCTTCTAGTGAGGTCCCCCTTCTTTCGAGGTCCCCTTCTAGTGAGGTCCCCCTTCTTTCGAGGTCCCCTTCTAGTGAGGTCCCCCTTCTTTCGAGGTCCCCTTCTAGTGTGATCCCCCTTCTTTCGAGGTCCCCTTCTTTTGAGGTCCCCTTCTAGTGAGGTCCCCCTTCTTTCGAGGTCCCCTTCTAGTGTGGTCCCCCTTCTTTCGAGGTCCCCTTCTAGTGTGGTCCCCCTTCTTTCGAGGTCCCCTTCTAGTGAGGTCCCCCTTCTTTCGAGGTCCCCTTCTAGTGTGGTCCCCCTTCTTTCGAGGTCCCCTTCTAGTGAGGTCCCTCTCCTTTCGAGGTCCCCTTCTAGTGAGGTCCTCCTTCTTCCGAGGTCCCCTTCTAGTGAGGTTCCCCTTCTTTCGAGGTCCCCTTCTAGTGAGGTCCCCCTTATTTCGAGGTCCCCTTCTAGTGTGGTCCCCCTTCTTTCGAGGTCCCCTTCTTTCAAGGCCCCCCCCTTCTTTCGAGGTCCCCTTATAGTGAGGTCCCCCACATAGTGTGCTCCCCTTTCTAGTGTAGTGCCAATTCTATAAGGTTCCCCGTCTAGTGTGGTGCCAATTCTATAAGGTCCCCCGTCTAGTGTGGTGCCAATTCTAAAAGGTCCCCCTTATAGTGTGGTGCCAATTCTATAAGGTCCCCCGTCTATTGTGGTGCCAATTCTATAAGGTCCCCCGTCTATTGTGGTGCCAATTCTATAAGGTCCCCCGTCTAGTGTGGTCCCTCTCTTAGTGTGGTCCCTATTCTAGTGTGGTCCCTCTTCTAGTGTGGTCCCTCTTCTAGTGTGGTCCCTCTTCTAGTGTGGTCCCTCTTCTAGTGTGGTCCCTTCCTAGTGTGGTCCCTTCCTAGTGTGGTCCCTTCCTAGTGTGGTCCCCTCCTAGTATGGTCACCCACTAGTGTGGCCACCAGTATTTTTCTAGTGTGACCAGTCTTTACCTATGACCAGCCCTTACTTGTGACCTGCCCTTACTTGTGACCAGCTTGAAGAGGTCAGACTTCCTTGATTGTTAGATGCAGTCATGACAGTGTTAGATGCAGTCAGGACAGTGTTATATGCAGTCATGACAGTGTTAGATGCAGTCATGACAGTGTTAGATGCAGTCATGACAGTGTTAGATGCAGTCAGGACAGTGTTAGATGCAGTCATGACAGATGCAGTCATGACAGTGTTAGATGCAGTCATGACAGTGTTAGATGCAGTCATGACAGTGTTAGATGCAGTCATGACAGTGTTAGATGCAGTCATGACAGTTAGATGCAGTCATGACAGTGTTAGATGCAGTCATGACAGTGTTAGATGCAGTCAGGACAGTGTTAGATGCAGTCAGGACAGTGTTAGATGCAGTCAGGACAGTGTTAGATGCAGTCAGGACAGTGTTAGATGCAGTCAGGACAGTGTTAGATGCAGTCATGACAGTGTTAGATGCAGCCATGACAGTGTTAGATGCAGTCAGGACAGTGTTAGATGCAGCCATGTCAGTGTTAGATGCAGTCATGACAGTGTTAGATGCAGTCAGGACAGTGTTAGATGCAGTCATGACAGTTGTTAGATGCATTTATGACAGTGTTAGATGCAGTCAGACAGTGTTAGATCAGTCATACAGTATTAGATGCAGTCCCGGACAGTGTTAGATGCAGTCATGACAGTATTAGATGCAGTCAGGACAGTGTTAGATGCAGCCATGACAGTGTTAGATTCAGTCATGACAGTGTTAGATGCAGTCATGACAATGTTACATGCAGTCAAGACAGTATTTTATGCAGTCATGACAGTGTTACATGCAGTCAAGACAGTATTATATGCAGTCGAGACAGTGTTACATGCAGTCGAGACAGTATTATATGCAGTCGAGACAGTGTTACATGCAGTCGAGACAGTGTTACATGCAGTCATGACAGTGTTACATGCAGTCGAGACAGTGTTACATGCAATCATGACAATGTTACATGCAATCATGAGAGTGTTACATGCAGTCATGACAGTGTTTCATGCAGTAGAGAGTGTTACATGCAGTCATGACAGTGTTTCATGCAGTAGAGATGTTACATTCAGTCATGACAGTGTTTTCATGCAGTAGAGAGTGTTACATTCAGTCATGACAGTGTTTCATGCAGTAGAGAGTGTTACATTCAGTCATGACAGTGTTTCATGCAGTAGAGAGTGTTACATTCAGTCATGACAGTGTTTCATGCAGTAGAGAGTGTTACATTCAGTCATGACAGTGTTTCATGCAGTAGAGAGTGTTACATTCAGTCATGACAGTGTTTCATGCAGTAGAGAGTGTTACAATTCAGTCCATGACATGATTCATGCGTAGAGAGTGTTACATTCAGTCATGACAGTGTTTCATGCAGTAGAGAGTGTTACATTCAGGGCCATGACAGTGTTTCATGCAGTAGAGAGTGTTACATTCAGTCATGACAGTGTTTCATGCAGTAGAGAGTGTTTACATTCAGTCATGACAGTTTCATGCAGTAGAGAGTGTTACATTCAGTCATGACAGTGTTTCATGCAGTAGAGAGTGTTACATTCAGTCATGACAGTGTTTCATGCAGTAGAGAGTGTTACATGCAGTCATGACAGTGTTTCATGCAGTAGAGAGTGTTACATTCAGTCATGACAGTGTTTCATGCAGTAGAGAGTGTTACATTCAGTCATGACAGTGTTTCATGCAGTCAAGAGAGTGTTACATTCAGTCATGACAGTGTTTCATGCAGTAGAGAGTGTTACATTCAGTCATGTCCTGACTGATAAAGCACCTCGTGTAGTTCCTGCAGGTGTTTGTCCTGTGTACGCACCTCGTGTAGTTCCTGCAGGTGTTTGTCTTGTGTAAACACCTCGTGTAGTTCCTGCAGGTGTTTGTCTTGTGTACGCACCTCTTGTAGTTCCTGCAGGTGTTTGTCTTGTGTAAACACCTCGTGTAGTTCCTGCAGGAGGTGTTTGTCTTGTGTAAACACCTCGTGTAGTTCCTGCAGGAGGTGTTTGTCTTGTGTAAACACCTCGTGTAGTTCCTGCAGGAGGTGTTTGTCTTGTGTAAACACCTCGTGTAGTTCCTGCAGGAGGTGTTTGTCTTGTGTAAACACCTCGTGTATTCCTGCAGAGGTGTTTTGTCTTGTGTAAACACCTCGTGTAGTTTCTGCAGGTGTTTGTCTTGTGTAAACACCTCGTGTAGTTCCTGCAGGAGGTGTTTGTCTTGTGTAAACACCTCGTGTAGTTCCTGCAGGAGGTGTTTGTCTTGTGTAAACACCTCGTGTAGTTCCTGCAGGAGGTGTTTGTCTTGTGTAAACACCTCTTGTAGTTCCTGCAGGTGTTTGTCTTGTGTAAACACCTCGTGTAGTTCCTGCAGGAGGTGTTTGTCTTGTGTACGCACCTCTTGTAGTTCCTGCAGGTGTTTGTCCTGTGTCAACACCTCGTGTAGTTCCTGCAGGTGTTTGTCTTGTGTAAACACCTCGTGTAGGAGGTGTCTTGTAAACACCTCGTGTAGGAGGTGTCTTGTAAACACCTCGTGTAGGAGGTGTTTGCCTTCTGTAAACATCTCGTATAGGAGGTGTTTGTCTTGTGTAAACACCTCGTTGTAGGAGGTGTTTGTCTTCTGCAAACACCTCGTGTAGGTGTTTGTCTTCTGTAAACACCTTGTGTAGGAGGTGTTTGTCTTGTGTAAACACCTGTCTGATTTTCTCTGGAAAAGCTTTTTCTCTTGTTTTAACATAAATGAGTTAGTGGCAGGTTGAAGAGTCTTGGACCACACATGTTAGCATTGTGTTCTGCCTGGAATTTCCCCTTGTTTATCACTGAGTTTACTCTGCACACTTCTGCACTTCCTCTCCCTTCAGTAACTTGATTTTTGTTTCACACTTTCTCCAGTATCTCTCATTGTAGTAAGTTATGCTAATGTGGATATTATATTAGTGACCCTGGAGTGTGTTCTCCCTGCTTGAGAGAACAATCTTGAGTGACCCTGGAGTGTGTGTTCTCCCTGCTTGAGAGAACAATCTTGAGTGACCCTGGAGTGTGTTCTCCCTGCTTGAGAGAACAATCTTGAGTGACCCTGGAGTGTGTTCTCCCTGCTTGAGAGAACAGTATTGAGTGACCCTGGAGTGTGTTCTCCCTGCCTGAGAGAACAATCTTGAGTGGCCCTGGAGTGTGTGTTCTCCCTGCCTGAGAGAACAATCTTGAGTGGCCCTGGAGTGTGTGTTCTCCCTGCCTGAGAGAACAATCTTGAGTGACCCTGG